AAAAATCAGATGCATTTGTACATGTTAACAATCAACAATCCTAAAGGAACCTAGAAAAACAATTCAATGTACAATAGCATCAAAAAGAATAAAATACTTAGGAATAAGCCTAACCAAGGAGGCCAAAAACTTCTACATTGAAAACTACAAGCCAAACATGGTAGCTCACATCTGTAATCCTAGCACTTTGGAGGCCAAGGCAGGGGGGCTGCTTCAAGCCAGGAGTTCAAGAGCAGCCTGGGTAACATAGCAAAACCTCAACTGTACCAAAAAAAAAAAAAAAAAAAAAAAAATTATCCAGGCATGGTGGCACACACCTGTAGTCCTAGCTACTTGGAAAGCTGAGGTGGGAAGATTGCTTGAAGCCAGGAGTTTGAGGCAAGCCTGGACAACAAAGTGAGAATCTGAGTCAATAAGAAGAACAAAAGAAAGAAAAGGAAAAAAGGAAAAGAAAACTACAAAACATTAAGAAAATTAAAGACACCAATAAATGAAGACATTCCATGTTCACAGATTCAAAGATTTCACATTATTAAGTCAATACTACCCAAAATACATCTACAAATTCAATACAATTCCTATCAAAATACCAATAATGTTTACTGCAGATACAGAAAAATCCATTTTAAAATTCATATAAAATCTCAAATAGCCAAAACAATCTTGAAAAACAACAAAGTTGGAAGACTCACACTTCCTGATTTCAGAACTTTCTGCAAAGCTACAGTAATCAAAACAGTGTCATAGTGGGGACAGACATACAGATCAATGGAAAAGAACAAAGTGAGAAATCAACTCTTACATATATGGTCAAATGATTTTTGATGACTGCCAAGACCATTGAATGAGGAAAATAAGTTTTTCCAGTAAATGATACTGGGGAAATTTGATATCTCTATGCAAATGGATAAAGTTGGACCCTTATTTTACACAATATACAAAAAAAAAAAAAAAAAAAAAAAAAAAAAAAAAAAAAAAAAAACCTCTCAAAATGGATCAAAGACCTGAACAGAAGAGCTAAAATTACAAAATTATAGGGCAAAAGCTTCATGATATTGAATTTGACAATAATTTTTTTTGATATGACACCAAAAGCACAGGCAATAAAAGAAACAAAGTGGGATATAGCATAATTTAAATAATCTGTGCATCAAAGATTATAATCAAGAGTGAAAATGCAAACTAAAGAAAGAAAATACTTGCAAATCATACATCTGATAAAGCATTAACGCAAATACACAAAGAACTCTTACACCTCAAACCAAATAACCCAACCTAAAAATAGGCAAATGACTTGAATAGACGTTTCTCCAAGGAAGATATAAATGGTCAAAAAGCATATTAAAAGATGCTCTACGTCACTATCACTAAGGATATGTAAACTAAAATCACAAGATACCACCTTGCATCACTTAGGATGGCTACCATCAAAAAATAACAAATGTTAGCAAGCATATGGAGAAACTGGAACTCTTGTGTACTATTGGTGGGAATATAAAATTGTGCAGCCCCTATGGAAAGTGTATGTATGGCACTTTCTAAAAAATTAAAAATGGAATTACCCTATGATCTAGCAATTCTACTTCTATGTATATAACCAAAAGAATTGAAAAAAGTGGTTTTTTTAAAGTCTCTAGAAGTGAAGAAAAAAAAGAGTCTTGAACAAATACTTGTACACCCATGAGCACAGAAGCATTATTCACAATAGCCAAAGGTGGAGGCGAACCAGGTGTCCACTGATGGATGAATGGACAAGCAAAATGTGGCATCTACACACGGGAATATTGTTCAACTTTAAAATGTGAGGAAATTTGGACACATGAATGAACCTTGAGGACATTACACCAACTGAAATAAGACAGTCACAAAAGGACAAATAATGTATGACTCCACTTATATGAGGTACCTAGAACAGACAACTCATAAGAGACAGAAAGTAGAAGGCTGGTTGCCAAGACCTTGGAGGAAGAAGAAAGGAGAATTCTTTGATGGGTAGCTGAAATTTTGCAAGATGAAAAGATTTCTGAAGATGAACAGTGGCAATGGTTATACAATGTGAATACTCAATGCCATCAAGCAGTAAAACTGTTTAAGATAGTAAATCTTAGAACTAGAAGAAGAAGAAAAAAAGCTGGGCATGATAGTGTTTGCCTATAATCCTAGCCACTAGGGAGGAAGCTGAGGCAGAAGGATCGCTTGAGCCTGGGAGTTTGAGGCTGCAGGGAGCTATAATCACGCCATTGCACTTGAGCCTGGGTGACACGGCAAGAACTCATCTCTTAAAAGACAAACAAAAAAACCCACAACTCCGTATCATATCCAAGTTATCAAAGTTAACATCATCAATTCTGGGACAAAACTAAAGTCCATGTTCTTGGAAGAAATATGCTTAAGTATTTGGGGCTCAAGAAGAAAGTCATCAGCAAGTTACTCTCATGAGTTTGCAAAAATAGTTGTATGTCTATACAAGATGACAGATTCAATCTGACAAAACGTGAACACTTGGTAAATATCAGTGAGTATACCAGAGTTTATTTACTATTTTTGCAACTACTGTAAGTTTGAAATATTTTCAAAATTTAAAGTTTTTCTGGCCAGCTAGGTTTGAGCTGCTCTAAAATGAGTACCAAGATAATTTATATAGAAACTAATTTTTTTCTTCACAGTACAAGAGAATCTCTTACCATTTTGAATTCCCCAAGTATAGTTTAAAACTTTGTAACTTGCCGGGCGCGGTGGCTCAAGCCTGTAATCCCAGCACTTTGGGAGGCTGAGGCGGGTGGATCACAAGGTCAAGAGATCGAGACCATCCTGGTCAACATGGTGAAACCCCGTCTCTGCTAAAGATACAAAAAATTAGCTGGGCATGGTGGCACGTGCCTGTAGTCCCAGCTACTCAGGAGGCTGAGGCAGGAGAATTGCTTGAACCCGGGAGGCGGAGGTTGCGGTGAGCCGAGATCGCGCCATTGCACTCCAGCCTGGGTAACAAGAGCGAAACTCCATCTCAAAAAAAAAAAAAAAAACCAAAAAAACTTTGTAACTTGGCAACATCCTAAGTTTTACCCCATAATAGTGAAATTTTCAGGTAATTGTAGCTTACGCCATTAAATGACAAAATCATGTATTAACTTAAAAATCTTTCTTGTGTACCTTTTCGTTTTTATTTCGAATTTGTTTTTAATAATCAGCATCTGTAAGGCTTCACTAGATGCCTGCCTGTGCTTTTTCCTACTCAAGTTTTTGAGGGCATTTGGGTAACGTTGCAGAAAGCTTAGGTTTTTGTCTCCATCTACTGGTTAGCTATTACCTTCTAATACCTTCATGTGTCTACTTTTCACAAAGCACTCACTGTATCACACTGTGCTTCTGAGTTTGTTGAAGGTAGTTCGGGAGGTTCTTGTGAGCAGTTTTAGCATGTAAACTTCATTATTTTAGCAGTTCAAAGGTCTTTGTAGCCAATAGTTTGGTGTTTCTGAAGATCAAGGTGCCAATCTGTATCAGAGTCGGATTTCTAAAATTAAAATAATCTAGTTGATAAAATGTTCTTGGGCCTCGTCACCTTGAACTAGAAGAGATCTCTCATAATTAAGTCTACAGAGACTATTAAAAAAATAAAAGTATCACAAAAATAGAGCAACAAGAAACACAGCCATAAGCTATAATTCTTCTTTCTCCCCTAATTGCCCTGTTGCTCTAAGCTTTGGTACATGATTTTTAGTTACATCTGTATTTCCTCAAAGACAGTATTTCTTGATCTTTTCTTTGTTGTAACCCCCCCATCCCACAGAAAAATGAAAATTAGGCCGGGCGTGGTGGCTCAAGCCTGTAATCCCAGCACTTTGGGAGGCCGAGGCGGGTGGATCACGAGGTCGAGAGATCGAGACCATCTTGGTCAACATGGTGAAACCCCGTCTCTACTAAAAATACAAAAAACTAGCTGGGCGTGGTGGCGCGTGCCTGTAATCCCAGCTACTTAGGAGGCTGAGGCAGGAGAATTGCCTGAGCCCAGGAGGCGGAGGTTGCGGTGAGCCGAGATTGCACCATTGCACTCCAGCCTGGGTAACAAGAGCGAAACTCTGTCTCAAAAAAAAAAAAAAAAAAAAAAAAAAAAAGAAAATTAACATAAAATAATTATCCCAAACAAGAGAAACACATCAATAAGATTTTGTTGGTATTCCACTTCTGCCTCAACTGAGGTACTGCAATTCAATTCTCATGCGAAATACGAGACCTGTCATCAGACTCCACCACAGGTTTAAGGAGTCTGCGCTCCACAAGACTGCCCCCACTTCAGATGCAAGCCACAAGTGAGGTACCCAGACTACTGTCATTTCTCACCAGCTACAGATTTGGGGTTCCCATAAACCTCTCAGGTTTAAGAACTTGCTAAAATGACTCACAGAACTCAGGAAAGCACTATGCTTCCCTAGAAAACACTGATTAGTTTTACTATAGAAGATACGAATTAGGAGGACCAGCCAAATGAAGGGATACATAAGGGAAGGTCTGGGAGGAAGGCAGAGCTTCTGTGCCCCTGTCCTCATGGAGGGGAGTCCTCTCCCTCCCAGCACACTAATGCCTTCACCAACCAAGAAGCTTCATTGAGCTGCGGGGTCCAGAGCTCGTCACGTCTCATTCGGCAGGCATGGTTGATTAAATCCAACAGGTCACTGACTTGAACTTCATCTCCTGGGTCCTGCTGGCCCAACGCTCTGAAGTAGGTGTTTCTGGTGACCAGCCTCCATCCTAAAGTCCATCTTAAAGTCACCCTGGTAGCATAACAGAGACACTATCACTCAGGAAACCAAAAGGGTTTCAGCCATTCCTTGTCAGCAACCAGGTGCAAAGACGAAAGTCCTCATTATACCACAGTCAGGCAGGACTGAACTTCTAAGGGTCACAAACCCCTCTAATATTGTAAGATTTTTTTCCCAATCAACGAGAACCAATCTTTGCCCCTATTAAGAATGCATCCTCTAAGAAATGAAGAGACAGCCCCCAAAACCAGAATGAAATTTTATTGTGTAAAGTTTATAGAAGTATGACTAGTATTCCTCTGTACAAAGTACGCAACAAACAGTTTTAAATATAACTGAGAGAAATGTGTGTGAGTCCTATGACAACATCTGATACAGGCTGAACCATTTACAGACACACTAAAAAATTTTTAAAATGTCTTCTTTCTCCAAAGAGTCCACTGCGCATTTCTTAGAGCAGAGATGGGGACACATTCCAGGCAAAGTCACAATGGCATTTTGTTGCCCTCAATGCTGATTTTCACTGCGTGTGCAGATCTGCTTTTTTTCCTGATATCTGTGAACTTTCTCATCTGTTTATCCAGTCGACTGATACCTTTCTTGGAGGTCGCCTGAAACTAAGAGTGGGGGAAAAATTAAAGAGCAAATTACTGAAATGCATAAGTCGAGTTTTGTCTTTCATCTTCTTATAGATGAAAGTTAGCAATCAGAAGCGCTCCTAGCTCTAGAATAACCAGAGAATGTGCTGATGACCTCAAGAACAGAGCAAGTAAACACGGTGTTAGAAACATATATTAAACTTTCTCAATGAAGAGTAAGTCTGTTTTCTGTGCCTTATTAATTTCGCTGCAGTCCCTGGGGAGAAAAAGGCCAGGCATGATAGTGTGTGCTTATAGTCCCAGACACTAGGGAGGAAGCTGAGGCAGAAGGACCGCCTGAGCCTGGGAGTCCTAGATGTGAGAAAGGGGGAGAAATTGAGACTATGATCCTCACAATTCCGTTATGTACATTACATTTTAACTGCCTGATTTTCCCTTTTGAAGACCAAATGTGGGGCTAACCACCTGACATACACGTCTTTCTTTTCTTTTCTTTTTTTGAGACGGAGTTTCACTCTTGTTACCCAGGCTGGAGTGCAATGGCGCGATCTCGGCTCACCGCAACCTCCGCCTCCTGGGTTCAGGCAATTCTCCTGCCTCAGCCTCCTGAGTAGCTGGGATTACAGGCACGCGCCACTATGCCCAGCTAATTTTTTGTATTTTTAGTAGAGACAGGGTTTCATCATGTTGACCAGGATGGTCTCGATCTCTTGACCTCATGATCCACCCGCCTTGGCCTCCCAAAGTGCTGGGATTACAGGCGTGAGCCACCGCGCCCGGCCCTCTTTTCTTTTCTTTTATGAGATGGAGGTTCCCTCTTGTTGCTCAAGCTGGAGTGCAGTGGTGCAATCTCGGCTCACTGCATCGTTTGCCTCCCGGGTTCAAGCAATTCTGCCTCAGCCTCCTACATAGTTGGGACTACAGGTACGTATCACCACACCCAGCTAATTTTGTATTTTAACAGAGACGGGGTTTCTCCATGTTGGTCAGGCTGGTCTTGAACTCCCGACCTCAGGTGATCCGCCCACCTCAGCCTCCCAAAGTGCTGGGATTACAGGCGTGAGGCACTGCGCCAGCCTAACATACACTTCCAAACAGTGCTGGCATGAAAAAGAATGACCTAAAGCAAAGTAAGTCAGCTGAGAAAAAACCTTAAGCACAATAAATGAGGTCAGATGATTAGTGAAGTGAACCCATAAGTGCGGGAGCTGAGTTTTTTAGGCTCGGGGTGAATCCCTGCTCTGACTGAGTACCTTCCGTGACCCGGGGCAAAGCATGCCCATGCTCGGTACTCCTTCCAGAACTGCCAGAGAAGGAAATCAGAAAATGATGTCAGATCCAAGCACAAAGGCTAAGCACATATAATCAGTACTCAAAATAATAGAAGCTATTACTATGTTACTACTTCACAAGCAACTAGATTTATATTAAGTATACTTGAGACAAAAAGAATATTAAGTCTACCTACTTCCCCTTATGTTTAAAGGTTTGGTTTTGGGGCTACTTTATATTTTGAAAAAGATTGTCTTGCAAAGATGTGGTCTCCAAGAAAGTGCCACCTTTCAGAAATGCTAGAAAGGCGCCAGGCACTGTGGCTCACACCTGTAATCCCAGCACTTTGGGAGGCTGAGGCAGGTGGATCACGAGGTCAAGAGATTGAGACCATCCTGGCCAACGTGGTGAAACCCCATCTCTACTAAAAATATAAAAATTAGCCAGGCGTGGTGGCATGCGCCTGTGGTCCCAGCTACTTGGCAGGGTGAGGTGGAAGAATCGCTTGAACCCAGGAGGCGGAGGTTGCAGTGAGCCAAGATTGTGCCACTGCACTCCAGCCTGGCGACAGAGCAAGACTGCATCTCAAAAAAAAAAAAAAAAAAAGAAAAAAACGCTAGAAAGGTTTGTTGACTCTGCTGTAAAACAATTCAGATACAGATGTTTAAGAATGGTGAGTGGTCAGAAAGAGATGGGTTTTTCTAATTCTTCTCCCCATACGTTTACTACGTAATCACCTCTGAAACTCAATTCAAAAGAATGCTGCAATAAGGCAGGGCCTGGGAGACACTCTGGGGTCAGTACCAGCGTGGTGAGGTTTTGCGTCCGGGAGCCTTCCTAATCTTATCTCACCTCTGGATCCAGCCTCAACCCCAACATGAAGCCAGCTGAGCACTAGGCAAGGAACTAGAAGTCATTCTTGACCACAAGCCACGTTGACCTGTCTTTCCAGAAATATCTCAATTCAAGTATTATTGAAGTATAATTCAGTCTCAATACTTGGCACCAGTACTCTGAGTAGGCATAAGTGTCAGATGAGAAGAGCTATGCCACTATCTCCCAAATTTTCTAGACAGTCCCAAATATTGGACTTCCTTTCAAAGGAAGTCCCCTGATCTTAGTGCTCGCACTCAGTCCACGTCGGAAGCCTTACCTGCTCAGATCTCTGCCAACTATGCAATTTCCGGCAGCTCCACACACCAACTGGACTTCCCTTCACCTACTCCCAGGACCCTCACTGTCTAAATCCTGATGGATCTGTCTAGCCTTAGCAATCAGGACACACCCAGGCCAGTGGGTTACAAAATACATGACTATGTAGTTGCAGATGCTTAGTTACTCCAAGCTTGAAAAGACAAACCACAGTCCCTCACACCCCGAGTTCAATGATCTCCCTCCTGATTCATCAACAGAACACTACACTTCCTTGGAATTAAGAGTGTGTGCTGCACTGCTTCACCAGAGCAAAATCAAAAGCAGCTTCAATTATGGTACAACTGTGTGAAGACACAACGCGAAATCACTAAAGATTGCTTACTCAAATGGACTTTTACCACGTTAAGTAAAAAACAAACCCAACAAGGTATGGAAGAATACGATCACAATGTTGCTCGGGGGAGGAGAAAAACCCACAATATTATCTATGCATACACATAAAAAACCCAAGAAGAAATAATCTAAAACGTTAACATTAAGTTGTGGTGGGATTACAGATGGCATTAATTTTATTTATGCTTTCTGTCTTTTTAAAAGTTCATGAAAAAATAGGCACTGCTTTTGTCATTTTACTGCTGTCTTAAAAGTATTTCACAGAGTAAATGAACATAAAAAAATACAATGTAGCACAGGTTACTCCATTATTTAGGAGTAAAAAAATCAGAAACCATAAAGCAATGAATAAACAAATTATATTCACGGGCAGGCGTGGCGGTTCCTGCCTGTAATCTCAGTACGCTGGGAGGTCAAGGCCAGAGGATCACTTCAGACAAGTCTGAGCAAGATAGTGAGACCTGGTCTCCACAAAGAAAGAAAATACAGGCTAGGCATGGTGGCTTACACCTGTAATCTCAGCACTTTGGGAGGCTGAGGCGGGTGGATCATGAGGTCAGGAGTTCAAGACCAGCCTGGCCAAGATAGTGAAACCCCATCTCTACTAAAAATACAAAAAAATTAGCCAGGCGTGGTAGTGGGCACCTATAATCCCATTTATTCGGGAGGCTAAGGCAGAGAACTGCTTGAACCCGGGAGGCAGAGGTTGCAGTGAGCGGAGATGACACCACTGCATTCCAGCCCAGTCAACAGAGCAAGACTCAGTCAAAAATGAAAAAGAAGAAGAAAGAAAATAAATAAATAATTAAAAAAAAATTATATTCAGGATAGACCATTATGCAGCCATTAAAAATTATAAATCTACTAGGTGGTTTAAAGAAGGTAGATAACCAAAATTATAATTTGGTCATTTCCAGCACGTGCACATGCACACGTGCACACACACACACATTATTATTATTATTATTATTATTATTTTCTAGAGACAGGGTCTCCCTCTGTTGCCCAGGCTAGAGTGCAATGGCATGATTCTAGCTCACTGCAGCCTCAAACTCCTGGGCTCAAGTGATTCCCCCACTTCACCCTCTCAAGTAGCTAGGATTTACAGGTGCATGCCACCATGCCTGGCTAATACTTTAATTTTTTGGTAGAGATGGAGTCTTGCTATGTTGTCCAGGCTGATACATGGTCTAATTTTAATTAAAGTTATCAGTAGAAAAAAGACAACAAATACATCAAACTTCTTTTGAATGCTACGACCGTGACTAGTTTTTCTTTGTACCTAAAAATTTTCTATAATTATAAAAACTAAGTTCAAGGCATATCCTGAAATACATTTAAAACCTCAACTTGTTAACAGTGGTGACTTACTGGAAGAGCAGGACTCTGGGTCACTCTATGGTGTTTTATATTTATTTACATAACTTTGAAAACAAAAATGATATTTAAGACATAAAGTATTCCATTGGAAAGCCATTTACTCACTCCATTTTTCTTCCTGGACATGCCTTTTCTACTACTACTCGTTAGCGCCTACAGTGTGGAAGCAAGTCCTGAGTGAATATGCAAGAGTGCTGAACATGGAAAACGGTGTCAGATGGTTTATGAATTAATAAGCAGGAATATAACAAAGGATCCTCAGCCCTCAAAAGCATGACTTACTGTTTTGACAGCACTCTACAGCAAAGACTGAGGCCTTGAGAAAAAACAGTGTGTGGAGTGCTGGGAATGCAGGAAAAGAGCCCTCCCTGAGCCTCCCTCTCCTCATGCTCTAACAAGAGGCTAGCCACTCTTCCCACCCTGCTCTAGGTGTACAGGGAGGTGGGACCAGAACCAGCAACATCAGCACACAGGCACACAGCCCTGAAAACACAACCTCTGCTTCCAAAGCAGATTGGCCACTCAGAGTTTTTATTACATTTTCTTTGCCAGACTGTAGTTCCCAATTCTCAAAAATAAAAATGTCAAGAAAAATATGAAAGAGGGCTAAAAACAGAGAAGAAACAACGAAAAAGGAGAGAAGGGCAAAAGAGAAATGGGTACGAGTGACATGGAGAAGTGGTCAGGGACGTGGATATGGGCATGAGCAAGAAAAAAGAAAGAGGAGAAGGAAGTTCTTGGCACAGAGCTAGTCAGTCCTTCTCTACCCCTGATTCATTCTCAATACACAAGAGAGTGTGTTTTGTTTTGATAGTCACTTCATAGCAGCATGCAGTGGCAGGTAGAAGAGTGGAGTCTGTGGAAACAGCAGCCAAAGCAGGGGTCACTGAGAAGCACGAAAGGCAGGCAACACAGACAGTGTGGACTCCACAGCAAAGGTGCCACAGGAATCTCGAAGCACAGCCAGCCGGCGAGTGGGGCTTATGAATGTGCGAGTCTTTTTCATTTCTAACCACACGGTGAGTACGTGTTAATCAAATTCATCTTCCAAATATTTAGTACAAGGCTTTCGGCAATGAGTCCTCAAATGCGTGTAGCTGAGCCACTGACAATAGGAAAACCAGCTACCTCCTACCAAGAAGCCACTAACCAGTTATATGCCTGTAACACATAGCACTATGATTCTGGGTCCTAACAAAAACCTTTCTCATAAAAATGGGTACCGGTCAGGAAGACCCAAATGCATATCAGGGAAGTAATTATCTATTAGTCTCCAGGATACTGATAAAGGAAGGGACTTCCACATCAATTTCTAAACCAGGCGTCCCCAAACTTTTTACACGGGGGGCCAGTTCACTGTCCCTCAGACCGTTGGAGGGCCACCACATACTGTGTGCTCCTCTCACTGACCACCAATGAAAGAGGTCCCCCTTCCTGAAGTGCGGCGGGAGGCCGGATAAATGGCCTGAGGGGGCTGCATGCCGCCCGCGGGCCGTAGTTTGGGGACGCCTGTTCTAAACAGTCAAGAGGCCTTGAATATCTCAAGGTGCCTGTTAGGGTCATTATCTCAGAAACTGAAAGCAGACCTGGCCTCTTCTGATTAAGAATGCACACACACACTTTTACCTTTCTGATTAAGAATGCACACACACACTTTTCACTCTGACTGCTGACAGTTCAAGCCCATGCACAGCTCATGCTTCCTTGGGGATACCTCTCATGTATACACTGCGGTAGGGCCAGGCCTACAGGGGCATCCTGTTGCCTTCAATGCTGAACTTAACAGCACGGTGCACTTTGCTGAGTCGTTTCTGTTCTGCAAAACGTCTCTTATGCTTTTCCAATCGGCTTAGGCCCCTTTTAAGAATACCAGGCTAGAAGGAGTAGTTTGATTGGAAAATAAAAAGAGATTACTGAGAAACACTGAAGATCCACTGAGCAGTATTTACAATGATGACAGAAGTGTCTACCCTAATTATTTTCAACAGAAATTGCTTAAACTGTTGAAGAGAAAGGGAGAGGTAGGTTCTGCTGAAGCACGTAAGCTCTGTTTCTCATGATCATTAAAAAATTCACTGTAGCAGAATACTTTAGGTTTCAAGGCTCACTTGAAGCAAAAGGATTAAGAAGAAGAAACTTACCTACTGGAGAGTGTTGCATCAAGTCTGAAGAAAAGTTCATCAGCAATTAACTTTAATCTTGGGTAATACTTTTCCTTTATCTATTGTTTACTTTGTGGTTTGGCTAGATAAGCGACCAGAAAACGGTCCTCTCTGAGTCAAACCTCAAGAGCTACAAGGGTTATCAACACATGACGTAAAGAGTAAACTAGTAATGTGCAGGTGAGATCCAGCTTGCTGACCCTCCACTTGCTTACCCTGGATGACTCCATTTCCACATTCCACTTGGGCCTGACAACATAGTCCTTGTTTGAGGGCATTGGAACCCTTGCACGAGCACAGAATCCGGGATCTCCAGGTCTAAGAGCCCTGAAAAAGGGAAGAGGAAAAGCATGCTGCTTATGTAGCCAGCTAGAGTGGGGCACACAGGCCATTTCACACTCCTGTTCCGAGGTCCACTCATTCAGCTGCAGTATTCAAAACTCCTCTGCGTCCACCAAAGGTCACCCCATCAACCCTCCCGCCACCTCTCCGCTAGCCTGTCATCACACACACTCTGGTATGCATCCCTCCCTGTTCTTCCAGAGCCAACTGGCTCTGCATTTGCGTGAATCCTTTCTCCTCTCCTCAGCTTCATATACACCCATGCCCCTCTGCTTTCCAAGGCTAGACCCATCAGCATGACTTGGAATCCCCTTTTCTCTTCTCTAGTGGAGTCGCTCGGGTTCATTTGTGAGATAAGGAATTGCGAAGAACTGAGTAGTTAAATGATCCTCCAAAACTCTCAGTATGCCCATAAAATAGTTTTTCCATATGAAACTCATAAAGTAATTTTTCATGTTTTTGTAAAAATTTTTTGAAGATAATTACAGATTCAAATGAAGTAAGAAATGATACAGAGAGAGATCCAATGTCTCTCCCAATAGTAACAACTTGCAAATCTGCAGTAGAATATCACAACCAGGATACTGATGTTGATACAGTACACTGATCTTATTTACATTTCCCCAGTTTTATTTGCACTCATTTATGTGTATGTATTTAGTCCTATGCAAATTTGTGGGCAACTATACTAGACTAAAGTAAGAGATTACTATCCTTCCAAAGTAAAGCCTATCCATAGATGCCTGGGCATTCAAACAACTCAGCCTTTAGGCAACTAGTAAAGAGTGGATCTATGTGTGTCTGTTGCGGATGCAGAGAGAAGGGTAAAAAATTCTCAATTGTTTCTAGTCTCTTGTACGGCTTACCCAATTTTTAACATTAAACGTTTATAACCTTCATATGTATATGAACAGATTAACTGGTTTGCCAAGAAAATTCCCTATAACTCTTCCTTCCTAAACAAACTTGCTTCTTCTAACTCATCCCCTACTCTCCTCTTGCAATCCAGATGCTGTCTGACTACCAACTCACCTGCACAAAGCCCTCTGCAGCACCTGTCACTGGCCCACACTTTTGCCACTGACACCTCCAGCTCAGTGTCATTCCCCTCCAGGCTCTGCTCCAACACATAGGACCATAGCCACTCATTCACGCTACTCTGCCTGGCTATGACCCCTGTCAAAAGTGTTTAGTTCATCTCTTACTCTATACTCTCTTGACTGAACAATCTTTTCTATGGAGAGAACCATCAAATCTAGGTCTCTAGTTCAAACATCTCTTTAAATTCCAAGTTCTAGACTCAAAATATTCATAGGCATCTCACATTTAATATGCTCGAAAGAGAAGCTGCCTGTGCCCTCAAATCTACTTCTCCCTCCATTTTGGTGAAAGGTAATAAACACTGTCTCAGCCCTTAGGTTAAAATTCTTGCTGAGGTTTAACTCCAGCCATCTTCTCTCCCACTAACCTATGACAGCTTTGCCTCTGCAATGTCTTCCCACTCCTTTGCTCCCCGACTACCACCTGTTTAGCTGTATCACTGCCTCAGTTCCACTGCCCTCCAACCCATCCTACACGATGTTATCGGTGTCAGCATCCTAAATCAAATCAAGCCAAATGGCTTCACATCCAGCCTCAAAAACATCCTGTGGAATGACAAGGTATGTGAAAAGTCCTTATCCTGATTCAAAGCCCTTCACCGGTCTACTATTTCCAACCCTATCTTCTACCACCTCAGGCCCCATACTACTGCCCAACCCCTTTAGTCAGTCTACTTGCCATTCCAAAAACACACCCGGCACACTTACCCTATGGCTTTACCAAAGCACTCCCTTTGCCTATCATCCTTGTAAAGATTTACACTTTTTGAGAGCATACACTATTTTTAATTTGCTTTTATATTCAAAGGGCACAACAAGGAGTCTAGCACTAAGCAAGCAGCAACAAAATTTTTATTCAATGAATTGTTTTCGCAATTTTCTTTTCTTTTTTTTTTTTCTTTTTTTTTTTTTTTGAGACTGAGTTTCGCTCTTGTTACCCAGGCTGGAGTGCAATGGCGCAATCTCGGCTCACCGCAACCTCTGCCTCCTGGGTTCAGGCAATTCTCCTGCCTCAGCCTCCGGAGTAGCTGCGATTACAGGCACGCGCCACCATGCCCAGCTAATTTTTTGCACCTTTAGTAGAGACGGGGTTTCACAATGTTGACCAGGATGGTCTCGATCTCTTGACCTCGTGATCCACCCGCCTCGGCCTCCCAAAGTGCTGGGATTACAGGCTTGAGCCACCGCGCCCGGCTATTGTTTTCGCAATTTTCTTTACATCCCCAGAGTACCCAATACAATGCTTTGTAGACAGGAACTGTTAAACTGAAAGTCACCTCCTGCAAACGTTCACATAACCTCATTTCATCTACTACTTCTCTCAAAACAAAGCAGCAAACAGAAATTCTCTACACGGTCTAGGAAGAAAAATTAACATTAAAACCTTACTTCTCCTCTCCTGTCAGCACCTTTTCCAGGTCTCTTCTGGGTGTCTGACCACCAGTGCTGGGAAAAAAGTTAAAAAGGAGATACCAGGAGCATTAGAACATTGTAACTCAGAAAAAGGGCACATGAAAATATCAAACTTAGACCATAACTATTAATAGCTCTATGTTAGATCAGGGAAAATAACTCCTAATCTTTAAAAAGTACTAGTCATTTTAGTATTCATTTGCATAACAAGTTTCCTTATGGGTGAGCCGTAACTGCCACATTTGTAACTCATAACCCTGTCCTCATGGGTGCAACTGTATATCCACCACATTGATACAAACCAAACTAATGACATTTTTTCTCTTCTAGGAGCTTGGAAATGGGATCCAGAAAGTTGTTTTCTGCAAATGGCTGGAACAACACGAGCAACACAAGCAATCAGAAGCATGAGAGGCCCTGTTCCAACAAGCTGACCAAAAAGGTCTGGTCAGGAGGAGAGGACCCTCACTACACACTAGCACATTTAAACTAAACTAGAAGGATATTAGGAATTATGGAGACATATCAAGCTGAGAGGAAAGGAAATCCTATCGTCTTGCAGGTTTCCTAATGATCTTACTTAAAACTGAGTTACTCCAACAATAACATATACTCCACTTACTCATACCTGTTCCCTCATACCTGTTCATTCTTCGTCGCTGAGGCATCTGTTCTAGATCTCTCTGCTCCCTTTCTTCTCTTGTCATTCCTTTGTAGTTTGAGGTAAGACCAAATATAGGCCTAGACCACTCATCTGCATTAAGAAAAAAAATCAATTACTTCATTCATAAAATTGCATTTCCTCTACCATTTTTTCAAATAATTGCACCTCAGTGTGATGTGATATTCTAGACATTTAGAATATTCTTTCCTTGAAGACTCCATTATTTCAGGATAATTTATAGAATAAGCAGAGCATAATGCCACCAGTATCATGACTAACTCTGGTTGATTGAGAAAATTTAACATAAATGATCACCATAGAGATTTAAAGAAAGTAACACGTGACACACTTTGATAATCAACAAATTAGCTGCATTGACATTTCATAAAACACATTTATTCACAATTTTTTATTTATTTTAAAAGGTAGACTAATTTCTACATTTATTGTACTGGAAATAAACTTCAAGTCTTGAAATTCTGCTTTCTTACCCTAACCAAAAACAAGCTTCCTTACTACCTTACAAAATCATCTATATCTTTAAAAATTACAGTGTAATAGTGTGGGGGAGAGTTTGTACTTCATTAAGTCTAATATAACTGCTACAATGACCATGAAAGAAAGTACATGCCACTGTTCAGTCAGTCAAAATCCAGGAGCCAACAGATGCCTTTGTTCTGAGGCACAATGTAGCTTACTGCTACATTTAATACACTATAAAAACAAGAAAGGACCTTTATAGACCGACCATAGGTGTTGTCCCACAAAGCGGGAGGCAGGGATTCTCAGGGGGTCTACCTATCTTTTAAAATCATCCTACTGACCCCACTTCTGGATTCAGAATCACTGCCATAGTAAGTCATGGATACCAGCAGGGATATTCTGCTTTTTTCAGTCTAGGGCAAAAAAAGAAAGTTGCAACCACTGCATAAAAGCACCAAAAGTTTATGACTTAGCAGGCAGTAAACTGCAGATTACTAACAAGATCAAAGATGGCAGTATATCTCTGGTTTATAGTGTATTTCTGGTTTATAGAAGAAATTCACATTTCTCTAAAAGCTTCTGATAAACAACAATTCAAAAGAAAAATAATTATTGTATTCAATCGTAGTAGTTACTTTTTCAATATAGCCTTGACGTTCTAAAACTTCCTTTCAACATGGAGCACGGGAGGAGTTAAGGAAGGTAACAAAAACAAACATGGGTTTCATTCTTAAAATTGAAGAATTTCATAAACAGTATGGTGCTTGATTACATAAATTTTGGTTTAGACTTCTCTGGAGTTCTCTGGCATCATCAAATACGAACATGCAAAAAGGTTTTAGAGACTACTGCACAAGTAACAGCAGCAACAGTGGCTGTTTCTTGAGTACTTACTATGTGCTAGGCACCGTGCTGCGGACACAACCTCTCATTTAATCTTTAAAGTCACCCAAAGAAAACACATAATTATCTCAATTTTACAGAGCACAAATCACTAGCTACGAAATGCAGTAGGGTAGGTGGTGGATTCACGATCAGAACCCAGGTAATATCAGCTCCACAGCCTGCAATCTAACTCCTCTCTCCATGCTCTTGATGCATGACTAGAAAAATGCGTACTTTTTACTTGCTATTTTTAATACTGAATAGCATACTTAAATATACTAAGAAGCCTTTAAGTCTAAGAGAAAAGGCGGGTAACTATAAGCAGTTATTCAAAAATTTCTATTCCACTTTACTGACTCATTTAAAACAAATATCGGTAAAAATATAGCTTTTATATACACACATCTCTCTCTTACCTATAGACATAAACACAACAAATGAAAAGCAAAATTTACATACTGATTAATTTTCCTGCCATGTCCTTGTTGGACCTTGATTCCTTGGGGTGTTTATAGAGATACATCACTGCTCGTCCAATCCCACTATGCTTCAGGGTCTCCTGGCTCACACTAGGCAGCTGGGGAACACAAACACATACACACGTATTAATCACTCAGAAGCTGGGAGTCTTGCTAATTTATTCCAGAGACCTGGTTCATTCACAAAAGAACAAATAAAAAATTCCATTTTCAGGAACATAAAGATACTTTGTGTCTGCATCAAAAGTTCAGAGTTCAGGCTGGGTACGGTGGCTCACACCTGTAATCCTAGCACTTCAGGAGGCCAAGGCGGGTGGATCACCTGGGGTCAGGAGTTCAAGACCAGACTGGCCAGCACAGAGAAACCCAGTCTCTACTAAAAATATAAAAACTAGTCGGGTGTAGTGGTGGGAGCCTGTAATCACAGCTACCTGGGAGGCTGAGACAGAAGAATCACTTGAACCCGAGAGGCAGAGGTTGCAGTGAGTTGAGATCATGCCACTGCACTCCAGCCTGGGCAACAGTATCAAAACTATGCCTCAAAAAAAAACAAAACAAAAGACAAAAAACAAACATTGAGAGTTCATCAACTTCAACAGCTGAGTTGATGTTAAACCTAGCAATGTGGACAAGTGCGGTGGCTCACGCCTGTAATCTCAGCACTTTGGGTGGCTGAGGTGGGTGAATCACAAGGTCAGAAGTTCAAGACCAGCCTGAAAAAGATGGTGAAACCCTGTCTCTACTAAAAACTACAAAAATTAGCCAGGCGTGGTGGCAGGCACCTATAACCCCAGATACTTGGGAAACTGAGGCAGCAGAATTGCTTGAACCCAGGCAGCAGAGGTTGCAGTAAGCTGAGATCACACCACCGCACTCCAGCCTGGGTGAGAGAGTGAGACTTTGTCTCAGAAAAAGAAAAAAAAAAAAAACAAAACTAACAATGTGAGAAAGTATAAACTAAGCATACTCAGAGGGCCTCTGAATCCAACACACCTAAGACTGAACCCAAGCACAGCCAGCCACCTTCTAGCTATGTGACCATGACAAGTCATTTAACTTCTCTGAATCTTAATTCCCTCATCTATAAAATGGAACTAATACACCTACCTTCTCAGTTTACTGTGAGGAATAAATGAACCACTACATATATAAAGCACCTGGCACAGTGCTCGGCCTAGGAGGTTCCTTGTGAATTCCTTCAGAAGTTAAAATAGCTTGCCCAACGTGTCACAACTACCTAAAGTGGCCCTGCTCAACATTCAAATGCAAGTTCACATCACTCTGAATTTGGTATTCATTCTACTTCAAATGTCTCCCCAGAATATGCCCACTACTGTACTACTTATCTCAGACACATCACAGCTACTCTAGGATTTTTTCCCTTCAATACTATAGTTAAATGAAGTTTTCTAAGGTCTTCCCTTTTTCACTCATTTTATCAGATATGTTCCTTTTTTCCAACCCCTCTTCAGGCAGACGGTAGCAAAGAGAACATATAAAAACACTGTAAACTACAGAAGTTATGACAATACGGATCACACTAGATAATTAATAAAGAACAGTCAGATTATCCGCCTCTAACCTCTTGCAGGATCTTCAGCAGCTCCTCCCGGATCTTGAGTGCGGGCAAACTCCTATCCGGTAGAGGTGAGAGCCATTCTTTGATAGCAGACATCACACCACTGTCAATGAATGTTTCTTTAAGGTCCTGCCTGCAGTAATAACAATAATTTTTTTTTAATTTTGTTAACCTTGGTTCTACTGTATCTTCTGACTTTTTTTTTTTTACATATTTAGTAATGTTTCCAAGAACTGCTTTTAAAGAGTTACTGATGTAAATTTTATATTTACTGAACACCATTCTGGTTTCAAAAGCAGTAAGACATTTAGTTCTTATTTTCAGAAACACATATACTTGACAAAGATGATTTGCTGAAAACAAAACAAACTCAAGTTACAAAAGATAAATTAATGTTGATGTAAATAGTACAGACAGTAAGAACAATTAACTCTAATCATTTCAACTAAAAAAAAAAATGTTCAATCTCTCAGAATAGTGATTCTTAAAGGTGAACCCAGAATTGCTATTCTCTGCAGCACACCAATGAGACTAGTACTCTCCTGGCAAGACACACACAAAAAACCACCTAAATAAAATAATACTTAAATTCCATTTTATGTACTAGAATGAGTTATGCTAACAGAAAACATGATACATAAAACCTGCCACAGATAGGTCCCTGTTAGAACAGAGGGAGCAATTTTCTAGTTACAGATGTTCTAGGCCATACTGGTGATGGCTCACTGATGCACCAATACAATTCCTCAGTCATCAAAAGTAGGCTATGGCTTGGTGCAAAGGGAAAGCAAGGTTGCTCAGAAATATGAGCAAATCAGGGCCTGGTACAGTGGTTCACACCTGTAATCCCATTACAGCACTTTAGGATGTTGACAAGGGAAGACAGCCCAAGCCCAGGAGTTGGAGACTAGCCTGGGCAACACAGTGAGATTTCATCTCTAATTTAAAAAAAAAAAAGCAACAATGAAAAAATTGGAAACAAGGATCTACCAAAAAAGGGCATCACTACTTCAGAAGGATCGGTAATTGTGACATATTAGAGTTGTATAAGCCTTGTACAATGCAGCCTTCACGTAGGGTCTTCCAAGATTTACTATTTTCCATCACACAGACAAAACAGATGCAATATTACCAGACCAAAAACTGTCTATAAAGAACAAAATTAGTGGCCAGGTGCAGTGGCTCAGGTCTGTAATTCCAGCACTTTGGGAGGCTGAGGTAGGAAGACTACTTAAGCCCAGGAGTTCAAGACAAGCCTGGGCAACATAGCAAGATCCTGTCTCTACCATGAAAAAAAAAAAAAGAATAAAATTAGTCGTTTCCAAGTTTTTCTTTCATTAGTATCAATTTTTTATTTGTTCTGTTTGTACCAGAATTCAAGGTTTAATAAAAAACTTACGAAGAACTATAATTTAGGAAATTTTAAACATTATCTTTCTGTGAACTGATAGAAGGCTAACATATTTAATATTCCTAGATCACCAGTACATCATTTGAATTATCATTCCCTTAAAAGGAAAAAGACATTTTAAAGAAAACAAAATACTTACTTCTTAAGGTGCATAACTACAGTAGGCAATAAAGTTAATTTTTTCAGTGCCGGCTTTTTTTGATTGTTCAACTGTCTATCTTCCTATTCAGAAAAAAATAAAGATTTTTTTTAAAAGCAGTACTCATTATTAATATTGAATTCACTGTAATTCTGAACCTTAAAATAATAGTTTTTCAAAGAAACAATTTTTCCTACAAGAAAGAATAACTTAAGAATGGATCTTTTGCAGAGCATCAAGCTCTGTATCTACATCAGTCAAATCCACAGAACTACCAGAATAATTGCCTTTAACAACTACAAACCAAGAGAAACAATTTTAATTTAGAATATCAGCATTATTATCAAGTATTCAGAGTTCATTAAAAGCACAAATTTTAAATGGGAAATTTTGGTTTATTATATTAGCAACGATTCTTCAGGTGTGAGGTTATATGATAATGGAATATATTATATCAAAGAAGAGTTTCAGTATTTACTTGAGCAGTTTTTTCTGTTTTTTTAGTTATGAAAAATTTCAAATTCTAATAATATACCTGCTGCATACATTTCAACAATTAAACACACACAGCTAGTCTTCTTTTAGCTACTTTCCCTCCATTCTTGAATTGTCTGGAAAGAAATGCTAGACACAGATCACTGAATCCACTGCTGAATTCTCACCAACTGTTTCCAAAAGAGCTCAACTTATTTTTTAAACATACCACTAGGCCAATTTGTATAATTTGAGCAGATTTTTTAAATGCAATGAAAGAAGCTGTGTCTTGGTCAGGAGCAAGAAAATGACACACCAATTTATAACACCTTTTATATATAAAGAAACTAAACTTTGTGGTGAACTAGCCAAATGAGAACAAAACCACTTCCCATGAAACCAGCAAACCCATTCACCTAAAATGTCTCATTTTACTGAACACTTCACCTTTTCATTTTTTTCTAAATACTTGACTAAAAAAGTAAAATATTTCCATGATTAAAATTTAGAACAGTAAAAGCTTTATTACAAAAAGCAAAGCATCTTAACTGTAGTTTAAGGGTTACATGTCAAAAAAAAAAGGGCATCCAGTAAACTCAGTGGGAGGAAAAAATGGTGAACCCAGAAGCGACCCAACTCACCTCAGCAGCTTCGTTCATCTTGACAATCATGGCACTCACGACGTCGTCTGCGTCACTAATAAAGGTGCCACCATCACGGTTCCGTCTGCGCTTGCCACTCATGCTCTTTTTTCGCTGCAGCATCATCTCAAAATCTGACAGAAAGTCCATACTAAAGCAGTAAACAAAAGCAAGTAAAATACAAGTTGTCTTTTAAATACACATTTACTTTCACCACAATTAAGAACACCAAATGTCTTAATTCTAACTCAATGAAGTGCTACCTTCTTTTAAAAGTGCAAGTACAGTCATGCGCCGCATAACAATGTTTCGGTCAGTGATGAACTGCGAATACGACGGTGGCCATCCAGTAAGCTAAGGTTAACTTTTCATTGAAGAAAAAAAATATTTTTTATAAATTTAGTGTAGCCTAAGTGTACAGTGTTTATAAAGCCTATAGTAGTGCACAGTAATGTCCCAGGCCTTTACATTCACTCACCACTCACTCAGACCAAATTCCAGTCCTGCTTTCATTCACGGCAAGTACCCTAAACAGGTAGATCATATTTTATCATGTATGTGTACACACACACACACACACACACACACACACACACACACACATTTTTCAAGAGTGTTGCTTTGTCACCCAGGCTGGAGGGCAGCGGCACAATCATAGTTCCCTATAGCCTCAAATTTCTGGGCTCATCCTCCTACCTCAACCTCCTGAATAGTTGAGACTACAGGCCCATTACCACCATGCCTGGCTGATTTTTAAAATGTTTTATAGAAACCGGGCCTCACTATATGCCACCCAAGCTTGTCTTGAACTCCTGGCTTCCAGTGATCCTCCTGCCTCAGCCTCCCAAAATGTTGAGATTATAAGCATGAGCCACCACACTCAGCTACACTGTATTTCAACTGTACCTTTTCTATGTTCAGATACACAAATAGCACTGTGTTGCCACTGCCTACAGCATTTGGTACGGAAACACGTTGCACGGGTTTGTGCCCTAGGAGCAACAGGCTCTACCATATACCCTAGGTGAGTAGTAGGTGATACCATCTAGGTTTGTGTAATACTATGATGTTCACACAACGACAAAATCGCCTGATGACACATTTTTCAGAATATAACCCTGTTAAGCGACGCATGACTGTACTTATAACTTGCTATTAAAAGAACAGTTGATCTCAGACTTTATATTCAATTCCCATATTACCATGTTATATGCATACATATAAATCACTACTAGCCCTGAACCTTTCATGCACTATATTCGTATTTGCATCTATCAGTTTGAGACAGAACATTTTAAGTTCCAATTCAGGGGACTCACTCAGCTTTAGTGGCACTGCCTTTTTTTGGACTAGAAAGGTGTTCAATTATTTGAATGCTGTTGTCTTATACAGCACAAGTAGAAAAAATAAAAAATAAGCTGGCACTTTTCAGTGATAAGAATTATAACTCTCAAAACATAATGAGAGATACATGAAAATCTAAAGGCTTGCTAACAGCCTCAAACCTTTATGGCTTTCATCAGAATCATTACACTTAAAAAAGAGGGAGTTAAGTTATTCTCTGCCACTATCATATCAATTCAATTTCCAAAAGTACTGCCAAACTCATTCAGCTTAATTACTGGATGCCACCAGGAATTGAAAATGAAACTATTTTTTAAAAGCATCTTCACAACTGGAAACAGTAACTAACCATTCTATTATTCTATAACATCTTTTAAGATAACATTTTTCTGAACATAGACTCTAACTAGCTCAACAAAAATGAGTGAAATATGATCAAGTAATATTCTGTAGTTAAGAGGTTAGACCTATTTCCCATGCCCCATAAAATCAGCTTTTCTCTCAAAAAGGTATTTTTAAAGTTAGGTTATTTTTCATAAGAGTTTACTTGGTGAGCCATAAATTAAGTCTGGTGCCGTATAAATACAAATCCACAAAGTAAGGCATCTGAGTCCAGGGTAAATGAAAGACAAATAACAGCAGGTAATTCACTGACAACACCGTAAACGGAAAAGTAAAATGGAGGAAAACAGGAATAGATCTATTCCTAAACTTAATCAGGAACCAAAATGAAAAACAAAAGAAAGTTTAATAGTCACTACCTTGATTTTTTTAACTTCTCTCAAACCAATTCCTTAAAAACAAACTTACTGTTTTCCTCTCTTTATGTTATCATCAGAATCTGAATCTTCTGCTTCTTTTACCTGTGTTTCACTTTTTTCTTCTTCCAGATCTTCTTGGTTAAAACCCTAAATGCAAAATTATCACAAGGTCCTTACAGATTTTCTTCTGTTTAGTATTCTTAATTAAATTTTCTCTTTTAAATAATACATTCACAAAGAACAAAAATTCAACAGATAGCAAAAGGTATATAACAAAGGGTCCCTCTCCAGCCATTAGTGTTACCAGATATCCTGTGTTTTCTTCCAGAGAGTCTACATATAAGCACTTCTACACATATATACTTCATACCGTCTCTTATTATACAATCGGAAGCAGAGTATTCAGAGTGGGTACAGGATAATGCTCTACACATTCCAAATTTAACAGAAGAATCTAGAGACCAATCCGTGTCAGTATTAAGTACTGTCATTCTTTTTAAGGCTTTAGACTACTTCACCACATGGCTGTAACCAAAATTTGTTTACTTATTTGCCTAGTGACATTTAGTTTTATGTATTTGAAATTCTGCGAAATACTTGCCAAACCATCTTCCATAAAGGTTACACCAATTACCTCTCCAGCAAGTATGAGGACTCCTGTTTCCCTACATTCTCACTACCACGGCAGGTTATCAAACACTGATATCCACTAATCTCTGGACTGAAAAACAAACCTCAGGGTAGCTTTATTTGCATTTTCCTACCATGGGTGTAACGTTCAGCATTTGTTCATGTTTACAAAGCCATTTGTCATTCTTGCCCTGTGAACTCTCAATATACTATGCCCATTTTTTGCTCGACTGTTCATCTTTTTCTTACCAATATGTAAAATCTCTTTGAAAATTAGAGATAGCCCTCTACAAGTGACAGGAACTGTACAAACCCCACATTTGTACAGTTTGGTTTTGTTTATGCTGATATTTGCCAGGAACAATTTTTCATTTTTATGTAAATGAAATGGCCAGTCTTTTCTTTATAGCATCTAACTTTTGTGTTATACTTAGAGGCCTTCCCAACGGTTCACCTAGTACATTTTCTCACTGAACTGAAACTATAACCAAGTTGATGTTAAGTTTCCAAAATACGTTAAGTATGCCTTATTCTTGCAATATGGTGCTTAACTAAGTATGAGCTCCATGAAGGCAGTGTCTAAACAGTCTCTAAAACATTTGTTGAATGAATTCTTCCTTTATATTTTCCTTAGGTTTACTTTCTTATTTAACTACCGTCCTGAATGAGATTCTAAATTCATTTCCCTCATCTTCTATTCCATTAGTTAAGAATAAGTATTGATTTCTTTTTTGACCCAAGAACCATTTAACAAGGCTTCAAGTTTCTGAGTGACAAACGAATGGAAAAATATATACAGACACTTGATATATGACAAAGATGGCACTATAGAATAGTGGGAAAGGATGATCTTTTCAATAAATGGTGCTGGGTTGACTGGATATTCCAAATAAGAAAACAAATCTTGACTTTTACCTATGCCACATACGAAACCAATTCTAGGTGAATTATAGAATTAAATAATCAAGCTGCTAGAAGATAATTTGAGAGAGTATCTTCATGATCTTTGAGACAGGCAAAAATTCCTGGGCAGAATTCAGTTTTCCCCATAAAGAAAAAGATTGGTAAAATCTCATCCTATGTTAAAATTAAGCACTTTTGTTCATCAGAAGACTCCATGTTAAAGGAATGAATTTAAGATATTCTAAAAAAAAATTTTTTTTAAAGACTCCATTAAGAAAGTGAGAAAGTAACAAAATGAAAGGTATTTTTAACTTTCATAACTGCAAGGGGATTATATCTGGATTATACAGAGACTCTTCCCTGGTTTTTTTCAGTCTGCTTCTTCTGCCAGTTACATTTCTCGTAGATTACGGATTTGTCCATTTCTTTTTTCAGTTCTATCAATTTTTGTTTTTTATGTTATGTATGTAGATTATGTAGATATTTAAAGACATATTATTTGATACAAACAATTTTAAAATCTTTTATCAATATAAAGTGACCTCTTTATCTCAAGTGATTTTTTTTTTTTTGGCTTAAAGTCTACCTCCCTCTTTTATAATACAGACATCACACCAGTCCTTGTTTGGTCCATGTTTACAAGACGTCCCTTTTCCTACACCTTTATTTTCAGCTTTACCTTCTGTTTCACACAAATCTCTTGAAATCAGTATGCAGCTGGTTTTTAACATCCCGTCTGGCCATCATTGTCCTTTAACTGGAACATTTGGTATATTTATATTTAATTTAATTTCTGATGTTATCAAAATTTAAATCTGCTATTTTACCATACTACTAACTGTCCCGTCTTGCAGTTCTTTTTCTCTTTTCCTGCTCATTTTCGACTAATTAGCTTTAGTTGTTCCACTTTTCCCCATGACTTTAGACATTATTCATTCCATTTTAGTCTTTTTAGTGGTCACTTGAAAGACTACAACATGCACCCTAACTTAGCAGTTTACTAATGTACATTCATATACATTTGCAAAGGCCTGGGAGCACTTCAATTCCATGTATGCTCCCAATTTATTGCTGTCATGCTTTAATTGTATACATATTCCACATTAACTACTTTGTTTGGCACAGTCAATACTCATTTAGACTCATACACATACTTTTGTTGCTCTTTTCTCATTCCTGCATCTCTAACCTTCCATCTTTCTTTTCAAGATCATTCTTTCTTGAATTTCTTTCCTTCTGTATTTCCTTCAGCTGGTACATTGTTAATTAACTCCCTCCTTATTTAATCTTCATTCCTGGAAAGTATTTTTGCTAAATGTAACAAAATTCTAAGTTTGCAGTTAGTACATTGCATTGTTTCTGCTGAGAAGTCAGCTGTTAGTCTAACTGTTGCTTTTCTGAACTTATTTTTCCCCCCTGTGGCTGCTTTTAGACTTGCCTATTTTCTTTGGTTTCCTGCAGTTTTATGATGTATTTAGGTGTATATTCCTTTTTGCTTATCTTCCTTGCAATGTGTAGGACTTCTAGAATCTATGGTTTAGGTATTGTTTCTTCTAAAAGTACTGCTTCTGCTATAAACATAATTTTCCCTCTCCTTTTATTATTCCAAGTTGTTGTGAAAACTTTTCATGCACAGTCTATGTCTTTTACTTTCTGCTATAATAGTGTATCTCAAAGTTTCATTCTAGAGCTCTCCTTCTAACGTATCTTCCAGTTCACGAATTCTCTTTCCAAGCGTGTCTAATCTGTTGTTAAACTCATCCACTATGTTTTCTGGGTTTTTTTCCCCCTGCTTTTCTTTTCAAACAGGGCTTCACTATTTTGCCCTGGCTGGTTTCGAATTTCTGGGCTCCAGCTACCCTCATGCCTCAGCCTCCCGATAACTGGGTCTACCAGCTACTTGCACCTACCTGTCCACCAAATTTTTAATTTCAGTTACCGTATTTTCATAGTTCTAAAATTTTTACTTAGTTCTTTTCCAAATTTGCCTTTTCCTTTTTATGACATTTTTTAAGCTTGTCTCTCATCTCCCTGAACATATTTAAGGTAATAACTAAAATTCCTATATCTAGAGCCCTAAGTCTAATTTCTATTGTCTGTCATTACCACTGTTTCCTTTTAATGTTATCTTTGTGTATTATACTGTATATATGAAAAACTTAAATCACGGTAATCTTATTTCTTAGACTGAGATTCTCTAGTCTGCTAGAAGATTCAAAGATGGCCTAAAACCTGAGAAAAATTTTTTTGCCTCTAGTTCCGCTTGAATCCTATGGTGCTGCTCTCTCAAGTCTCGGTCCCGGGTATGGTGTTTACAGAGCCCCCTAACCTCAGTAGGCCCCGAACTCCAAATTTTGTCCCCAGGCCTTGAGGCTGTCAAAATTATGGGTAGCCCCTCAGCCCGACAGGCAAACGTCCCCACAGAAAAAGCACTTCTAAACACTGAGTTACCGATTTAGGTTTCTTTTGGCTTAGTAATTCTTTGCTAATTTGTTCCTAGATAATGAGCAGATTTCTATGTATTTTGTCTAGCTTTTCTAGTTGTGCTTGACAGAAGGATTAGTCCAAATCACTCAGAACACCGTTATGAAAATGGGAAGTTCCCTAACTTTGTGAATCTTGCCCTTTAGCATTATAAAGTGCCTTTCTTTGTCTCAACGTGTCCCTTGCCCCTTAATTCAATTTTGCCCATTAGCTTCCTTTTATGCTTTTGTCTATACCCTTTTATTTTACTTCCTGAATCCCTGTTCTAGATTTTTCTCTGGAATACATTATAGTTGTTTATTTCAACTTATTAGAATTATCTATAATGGCATCACCACCATAAAAACAATAAAAGCACAGTCAAGGAGGAAATATTTCCATCTTATACTTACTGTAAATTCTTCTTCCTCTTCATCACCAGATTCACCAAATATGTCCGCAATAAGATTTCTAGAAAGTAGACAAATAGAAAAACATTCATTTGCTTTCTTCTCATTTGCATGGGAACCATTTTTAAGAAATAGGATTTAATTTACATACAGTATAATGTGCAGATCTTCAGTCTCCAGTTCAATGAGTTTTTAACAAATGTATACATTCATGTACCAGCACCCTATACACTCATGTAACCATCTCCACAGAAAGTTCTCTCATGGCCCCTTCTAGCTGGTCCCTAATATCAACATCCTTGAGACAACCGCCACCTTGACTTCCAACACCACAGACAAATTCTGCCTACAGAACTTCATTCATGTAAATGGAATCCTACGTCCTCTTTGCTTTCTTTCATTTAACATGTTAATTCTGAGGTGAATTCTGATATTCATCCACGTTGTAGTGTGTTCAGTTCAGGAACTTAAATACTAAATCCCCAAAGTCATGCAATTGGGCAGGACATATATTATCACACAAACCCTTCTCTACTGCCTACTTAAGAACCCCTGAAAACTCATGTCATACTGCCACTTACTCTTCTTCATTGCCTGACTCACTGTCACTCCCAAACAGATCCTTCTCCTCGTTTTTCTTATCAGACAATTCTTTCCCCGCTTCTTCCTCACTGTCAGATGCTACGGTCTTCTCTCTTTTGCCTGACTTGTCTGATACAGCATCACTGTCAGAGTCATCTGCATCAGAGACAACACGACTCTTCTTTGCTGCTGATGAAAAAGAAAATCATCATTAATTTTATTTTACCACGGTCATTGCATTACTAAGTGTAACAGGTGCTTTAACATGGCAGTATGCAGCCAAAAAAATAAAAACAAAAAATCAAAGGGCTTAAATCAAAGAGCTTCCTGACACATGGTTTAAAATTTGCAAGATAACTAAATGGCTCTTTCAGAGTTACCTTCCAAATTATGTGTTATTTTGCTTAAGAAAAAGTGGCCAAAAGATGAAGAAAGATATCACCAATATAAAAGTGGGTGTCAACAGCTACCTTTCCTTTGGGGGAACTGAGAAAATTAAAACTAGATTGTGGCCGGGCGTGGTGGCTCATGCCGATAATCTCAGCACTTTGGGAGGCTGAGGTGGGCAGATCATGGGGTCAGTAGTTCAAGACCAGCCTGGCCAATATGGTAAAACCACATCTCTACTAAAAATACAAAAAATTAGCTGGGCATGGTGGCGCATGCCTGTAGTCCCAGCTTCTCAGGAGACTGAGGCAGGAGCATGGCTTAAACCTGGGAGGCAGAGATTGCAGTGAGCTGAGGTCGCACCAGTGCACTCCAGCCTGGGCGACAGAGTGAGATTCTGTCTCAAAAAACACAACTAGATTGATGGGCAAAATAGGCATTCTTTCTATGTTGCCTAGTAGTAAGTGAACTAAAAAGGACTATATATTTCTTTCTAGGAATATTCCCCATGTTCCTCTTTCATTGCTAGTCAGTTTGAAATTTCTCATCTTACTTAACAAATTGACAGCATGTCTGGTACTTTTTTTCCTTCTCCTATAAGAACTGTCAGGTGCCGGGCGCGGTGGCTCAAGCCTGTAATCCCAGCACTTTGGGAGGCCGAGGTGGGTGGATCACGAGGTCAAGAGATCGAGACCATCCTGGTCAACATGGTGAAACCCCGTCTCTACTAAAAATACTAAAAATTAGCTGGGCATGGTGGCGCGTGCCTGTAATCCCAGCTACTCAGGAGGCTGAGGCAGGAGAATTGCTTGAACCCAGGAGGCAGAGGTTGCGGTGAGCCGAGATCGCGCCATTGCACTCCAGCCTGGGTAAGAAGAGCGAAACTCGGTCTCAAAAAAAAAAAAAAAAAGAACTGTCAGGTTATAATGAAATATGTTATTTCCCAAAAAAGATACGTTTCATAAAAAAGTCAACAAGTAAAACTTATTATCAGTGAAAATGGAGTCTTAGGTAGCAGAGACTGAAACACTCTGCAGAGATGGTGTTTCTACATAGAAAGCCCTCAAAGCTTCCCTGTATCTGAATATTCAACAATGTTTAACAAATAAAGAGACGTACCTATGGGAGCTCAGTTACTGTTTGGATGGGATCTAGTGAACTAAGTGTCAAAGAGACCCATGGCTAACTTGGAATACAGTTAGGGGTTTTCATGTAAACATATTTCTTTGAAACATTACCTCTTCCAATTAAAAAAAAAAAAACAAAAAACAGAATATTTGATATTCCCATTGACCTGTGGTTTAACTTATCATTCTAAGGCAGTCAGAGATAAATGTGTGCTAACAGAACTCAAAGGAAACTTACTATTAAGCTTAGACTATGATAACCAGGGGAAATGAGTATCCTAGTGATATTTTAGAATATTATGCTGAATAACAGAATACAGATCCGACATACCAAGAGGATACAATGCTCCACAGTTACAAGCTTAGACAATGAGTAAAGCCAGTGATAATAAGCCCAAAGTAATTCCTTACATGCTTTCTCTTCATCTTCACTATCAGAAAGCACAGCAGCTTTTCTCTTCGCTACTTTCTCCTCCTCACCCTCTTTTTCATCTTCATCACTGTCCATTTTTTGCCTTTTGAGTTCTTCCTCCTCACTATCAGAACTGTGAAACTTTTTTCTGTCCATATGGCTGTCTGAATGGACAGAGTCATTCTGCATTTCTGTATCCTCTCCCTTATTCTCCCTGTCGCTGTCATCATCAGACTCTGGCTTCTGTTTGTGTCTGGACGCATCCTCAGTTTCTGAGTCACTGGCAGGTCCCTTCTGAGGTCCCTCACTTTCAGAGTCACTGACTCGGGGTTTGGGTAACTCTTCATTTTCAGAATCACTGGCCTGGTTCCTTGGGGGGTCCTCACTTTCCGAATCACTGATTCGGGGTTTGGGAAGCTCTTCATTTTCTGAGTCACTGGCCTGGTTCCTTGGAGGGTCCTCACTTTCTGAGTCACTGATACGAGGTTTGGGAAGCTCCTCATTTTCAGAGTCACTGGCCTGGTGCCTTGGGGGTTCCTCACTTTCCGAGTCACTGACCTGAGGTTTAGGAATCTCCTCACTTTCAGAATCACTCATTCGAGGTTTGGGAGGTTCCTCATTTTCAGAGTCACTGGCTTGGTGCCTTGGGGGTTCCTCACTCTCAGAGTCACTGACCTGAGGTTTTAGAGCATCTTCTGTTTCAGAGTCACTGGCAGGACTCTTCTGGAGCTCCTCAATCTCAGAATCACTGGCAGGATGCTTTCCAACATCTTCGTTTTCTGAGTCACTTGCATGCCCATTAAGAAGCTCCTCATTTTCAGAGTCACTACCAGGTAATTTCCTGGTCTCCTCACTCTCAGAGTCGCTCCCATGCTGATTGACATCCTCATTTTCAGAATCACTTGCAGGAGGTTCTGCACGTTCCTCAGATTCAGAGTCGCTGTCCTTTTGCCTGTGAAGCTCCTCACTTTCAGAGTCACTAGCATTAAGATTTAAGGGCTCATCATTCTCAGAGTCTGTCACATGATGTCCTTTGGTAAGGCCATCTTCTCGATCACTAGGTTCATTCTGAAAAGTAAAGTGAGAAAAAATTAGAAAAAGTATAAAAAAGAAAAACTTTAATAGTAAAATGTTAAAAATTTCCAGTGATTTTTTAAAATGTAGGAATATGGGCACCTAATCTGAGAATTCTTGTCATATACCTATATAGAACTACCACACAGGAAACCAATCTGTGAAATGGTTTTATTTGGATTCCCAAATGGGGAAATATAACCAGCCTTCATCCAAACAAATTCAAAAAGCATATCCTCAGATTACTATAGAAAACTGTGAAGAACTAGATTTTTTTTTTTAAAGCTAATTTCCTCATACATACTTCTTTTTGCAAAAATATAAATCTAGGTCAGGCGTGGTGGCTCACCTGAGGTCAGGAGTTCGAGACCAGCCTGGCCAACAAAGTGAAACCCCATATCTACTAAAAACACAAAAAATTAGCTGCACATGGTGGTGGTCACCCGTAATCCCAGCTACTTGGGTGGCTGAGGCAAGGAGAATTGCTTGAACCCAGGAGGCGGAGGTTGCAGTGAGCCCAGATAGCTCCACTGCACTCCAGCCTGGGCGACAGAGCGAGATGCTATAAAAAAAAAAAAAAAAAAAAAAATTTTATACACACACACACACACACACACATTAAAATAAAAAGAACTCTATTTTTCAAAGAAACACAAGCAAACACGTAACCGAGTTCTTTTATATAGGAACATTCTTGGGTTTTATAAAGTTAAGATTATTTAGGGGATAAGAACTATAAAACTTAATTTATTTAAAGGGTCAAATAACATGGGCACATTCTCCCAAGATAATTTAAGCAAACAAAGAAAGGAGAAGTTAACATTTCCTAAGTACCCACTAAAAGCCAATACCACAATAGGCTCTATCCTGTTCGTTCATTTACTCCTCATAATAGTACTTCTCATGATAACAAAATTGAGGCTTACAGTAGTCATAGTCCTATCTCTAGTAACCCTGGAAATAAGAAAGCTTCAGTTTTAGGGAGAACAGCTTCATCTAACTACACCAACACATAATGTTACTTGAAATAATTACTCTGAAAACATGATCTGGAGTATAAACTTGATATGTGCATACTATAGCTATGGTTTTTAAAATGCAGAGAAAAATATACAAAATTAAACATGCCAAAATACAAGTGTTTTAAGATCTGCTGAATTTTTTCTCCCATCTGGTATTTCAACTTTAAATAGAAAAATAAAAATAACTGGTGAATAGTATTCCAGCTTAAAAAGTATTTTCATGTTTGAGTATTCCCTCTTAAAAATTTACTGAGCCAAATATTTCTTGTTAGATATGTGACTGAAGCTATGTGAACCTACCACGGACCAATTTTCAAGGACCCGAGAGCCTTTAATAATGTATAGCCCAACATCATGCTATGAAATAGTTAAGTGACAAGAGAATTGTTATCAATGACAGGATAAACTGCATGAAAATGTTCTCATAAAACCCATACTTTTACTTACCCAAGTATGCTGCATCTACAAATTCAAAAAGATTATTAAAAATCATAAAATAAGCCTACAAAGCAAATGTTTGAAGAGTTTTTTCCTATTTTATCACCATTATGACAGCACAGCATGGCAAAGAAAGTCATTGCTTCTTTGCCATGAAATACAGTCACTGAAATATAGCACATTCAGCAAAGTTTCCAAAATCATAAACTTCCCCAAATTCCTAACTGTATTTTTCTTCAGTTCTCACCAGGCACTGAGCCCAGGACTGTATTAGATTCCTGGTCAGTCACAGACTCCATTATCCCACAGAAACTGGCACTTACCTATTAAAACGATATTAGGACTAGAGAGATAACACAGAATCTTACAGTACAATACTCTGTATGTTGCCTAAAGCTTACTTTAGCCATACTTCATAATTTAAAAGAATGCATGTGGAAAATTTAACAATCTAGACCATAAGCTCTAGGAAGGCAGCCATATTTTGGTTTGTTTTCCCCACTGAGGTATCCTCAGAGTGCAAAATGCTCTCCAGTACATATGCATGGTAGGTAGAGTCTGAGCATCCCTAATCTGAAAATTCAGAAAACTCCAAAATCTGAAACTTTCTGAGCATTGACATGACACCACAAGTGGAAAATTCCACACATAAGCACCTAACACAAAGTTTGTTTCATGTGCAAAATTATTTAAAATAATGTAAAAAAGTACCTTTGAGCTACGTATATAAGAAAGATAAATGAGTTTTATGTTTAGACTTGGGTCCCATCACCAAGATAGCTCACTGTGTATATGTAAATATTTCAAAACTTAACAAAATTCTGAATCCAAAACACTTCTGATTTCAAGCATTTTGGATAAGGGAAACTCAACCTGTATTTGTTAAATGAGTAATAAAGGCGCTAAGTGGGAATAACATAAAGTGAGGAATAATTAATCCAACAAGAATTTATTTGATGTCTACTATGTGCAAGATGCTAAGAATCCGGGCTAAGTCTCAGTGCCTGACCTTAAGAGCTGCTCTCTAATGAGCCAGCCAGGCATCCTGTAATGTTATAGTGTGACACGCACCATTCACAAAGTATGCATATGGTATTTTGAAAGTGTACTAGAAGTGCATCTATGTGAAACTGAGCTGCAAAAAAAAGGTGTGCAGACAGTGAGCTGAGATCGCACCACTGTACTCCAGCCTGAGCGACACAGAGAGACTCCACCTCAAAAAAAATTTTTTTTAAAAAGGTGTGCAGACAACAGGCATGTTTGCAGGTACTCTGTGATGGCTGAGTTCAGATGGGAGGGTGGAGAAGCACACAGTACCATCAGAGGCAATTAAAGCAGAAGGCAGAAGGGAAAACTGTAACTGATTTCTGGAATGCTCTCCACGGCATACCCATCACATAACTTTAATGCCACGTCTATGTGTGACTTGATTTATTTTAGTTGAAATAACAGAATCAACTCTGGCTAAGTCCAGAAAAAAAAGAACAATCTTCTCAGGATCAGTGACTTGAAAGACTAAAGACTGGAAGGTTAAGTACCAATGCAGCACAGAAAGCTTAGAAAAAGGAACTCAAGGATCATTTTACTATAAGAGTACCATCAGTAACATGACTCAGCTATAAACATAATAAATTTCAATGTCTAGAACCTAAATTATAAATCCCCAAGAGAGATGACCTAACTGGTCAAGGCAATATCAGAAACTGTAACTCAATCAGTTACAGGGGAGCAGGAAACAGCACGGGGAGCCACTCTCAAAGAAGTGAGAGACACTAGGCAGTCATTTAAAACTCACCCGCTACACTCTACCCCGGATTTCCTGACGCTTGGTGTAGCATTCCAAAACAAATAACCCTTACAAGGACACTGCATAAGACAATGATTGTGAAATTCAGGAATCCTCATGAATTTTTTGAGTTTCACAAAAACATAGCATTATGTGTGGCACAACAGGGCAAAAAAAAAAAGGAAGAAATCACTATAGTAAAAAAGTGCTAGTTTGACAGACTCAAGCTAAGGAATACACTTAGACAACACCACCACAGAATTTGGGACAAGTATGCTGGAAATTATACAGTTAAGCTTAAAAGTTATTAAAACAATATTCAAACTTTCTAGAGCGGCTTCAGCAATTAAACTGCAAGTTTAAAAAAATCCAAAAGACAGTTTTTAAAAAGTCAGATGAGTACAACAAATCAACAGTTGAAACTGACATTTAATGTCATATTTTAAAATAATTTAAGACATTTCCTAGTTGTAACAGTAAAAGAAATTGAGCACTCAGAGGGTCCTTAGATGCTTTAAACGTTTATAATGCCTTATACCTCCTTCTTAGCCATCATTCACACTGCAGTTATAAATAACTACTGGTTATCCATCATAACCTTTCCTTTAAATTTAAGAAACTATTTTTCCGTGGAAAAGTTCAAAAATTCAAAATTCTTCTAAATTTTGAGTTTTTTAGTACATTTTGAGTTAGCTGTTGCTTGCTTATAAAAAGGGGTTACCATATAAAATGGCACAGTATTCTAGCAAATTATTTTCCCTTTGAGTTGAAAGATTAATGAGCACTGCAGAAATAAGACAAATGCTAATCACACCCAAAGATCACCATCATTTACATTTTAGTCCTTTCAATCTCTTCTCTGTGTAAATTTACTTTAAAAAATTAAACCAGGACCTAGAATCACAATAATGGCCTCTATCTTTCAAATTCCTAGGCAGACAGGAGTGGGTCCCTGGTGAAACATGACCTTCTAGCCAAAGACAGCTTAAACCCTGAAAACTGAGCTGCCAGAGCCCCTGACTGGAGTGAGAACCTTTATTCCTGTTCGTCTGCTCTTTCCTGATTGGTTCTGAATAATACTATTTTTTAACCAGTCAAATGTTGCCTTTCCCAAGGCTACCTACATACAACCCATTCTTCCCCAATTCTGAGCCTATAAAACCCCCCGACTTCCCACATGTTGGGGACTACCCACCTTTGGGTAGGGGCTGCCCATTTCAGGTCCCCTCCCTACTGAGAGCTGTTCCATCGCTCAATCAAATTCTTCTCCACCCTGTTCACTCACTGTTGTCCATGTAACCCCATTTTTCTTGGACGCAGGAAAGAACTTGGGAACCGCCACACGGAGGATGGGAAAAGGGCTGTAACACTGTGCCCATCCCTCCCGCTTATCCAGCAATGGGGGAGAAGTTGCTGGGCGTGACAAACCACCATTCGCCAAGGCTCAGGTACCAGAAACAACCAAGAGAGCTGCAGTGCTTCTCGAGAGCCCAGACTTTGGGACTCTGTAAAGCAGAGCTGTAACACGCCCCTGCTCACCAAGCCTGGTGCAGTGGGAACAACTGAGCTGTGACACCCTTGGGGCCCTCCAGTTCCTGGCATTTCCGAGTCTTCAGGCACCCCCACATCCCCCTCATCTGGACACTGGCGCCTACTATGCAGTTACTTGCAGCACACTGGGTGCAGCTGCAGCATCCTACAGAGCCCGCGCCCATGTCGGTGCCTGGAGCTGCCCTACCACTGCAGCA